AAATCAACAGTCGCTGCTTTCGCTATGTTGCCACATCCATGACTTGGGCGAATGCTGAGGTGATTTCCAACAAAACTGCTCTCTTATGTTCATTTGATCTCTTTTATTTTAACAAAACCCAGCTAATACCTCAGAAAATTCTCATGTGTTTCTCTGTAGAAAAACTGTCTGTCCATGGGAGCAAACCTTGCATCAGTTCGCAACGCGTACGAGTACCGCCGGGTTCAGGCTCTGATACGTGCAGCAAGTCGTAATTCCAGAGAAGCATGGCTTGGAGGCTCTGATGCACAGCAGGTACTTTAGCCAGTACACTTTATGTATTTTGTGAAACACTGAATGAAATGTGTCATCTACTGAACACGATTCTAGGAGAGAACCTGGTTGTGGAGCGATGGAAGTCCTATGAGGTACACAAACTGGTGTCGAGGGCAGCCTGATAATGCTCGACGCAGCCAGCACTGTTTGCAGATGAACTGGTCAGGTAAAGAAAATATCACGTCTGTTTTTTCAGTTAATAAATGGCTTGTGGGTGAAAAGCTTATTTTCACCCACATTTTGTACAAACACATCAGAAGTTAAATCAGACAAAACTTCTGTTATTTTCGGTCGGCTAGAATTACTAAAATTATTTCTATTTGGAAAATTGTGAGGAAAAACTTAAGAATATTTGTTAGAGATTCATTTTGTGACTTTCTTCTCATTCAGATGTTTTCATACATTTTGGCCAGTATCAGGGATAATTGTCTTTAAAACTGTATGAACCTAAATGTTTACATACATTTAGGTTTTCTCACCAAAATGTGTAAACTTCTGTATTTGAAAAAAATTACAAAAATGGCCTCTCAAATAGTTTAGTTTTCTGAAAATAAATAATTTAAGGTAATTCTTAAAGATCTAAAAAAAGAGAAGTTTGAACATATCTAACTGAAGACAAGATCAAAATTGTGTATCATTTGGTGAATGTAAATATCTGGTTTTAACTGTACATTTACTGCATCAACAGCAGGAGTTTATATTCAGTTTTTGATGTTCGACTCATATTTATTCTCTTGCTTTTAGGTGCAAAGTGCTGGGATGACTTGTGGTGTAATCACAGTCGGCCTTTTGTCTGCGCCAAGAGACTCAGAAGACGTTGAGGTTCCCAAAGAGGCCTGATGTGTAAAACAGAACCAGTGGAGGATGAATGCTAGGAGTTTCTGTTTACCTGCCTTTCTGCACCTTCCTAAGAAAACCAAAAGATATTTCTGCATCTTTTCTTCACATCATTTCTGTCTTTAATGCAACCTAAGGAATGAAGCGACAAGTAAACAGCAGCTGGATTGTCTCTCTGTAATAAGATCAGACTGAATGAGTTATAATAATGGATCATCTTAGCAAAACTTTCTTCTGTTCTTTGGCTTAGCAAGAATAAAACTTTGAGCAATCAAAACAAGACAATGTGTGGTTTATTCTGACTTTGTGTTGTTCTATTTAACACTATCATGCACTAGTTATTACAATATAAATATCACATTATAACAAACTTTTCACATACTTAATATGTAGTATTTCTGTACAAATTTGACTATTTTATTGTTCATGCATAAAAAATGTTTTATTGTACATTTCATGTTCGCATACAAATTACTTTTTTTTAGATTTATACAACTTTAAGTTTTTGCCAGCAAACATTTTCCTCTCCCATCTTCGCCCATATAAAATGTCACAGATGTGATACTTGCACTGAATCCCTACACAAAGAAAAATATTTCAAACATATATTTCATGATTCAGAAAAATTAGACGGTGATCGTCTAATGCTCTAACGGTAAACTTTCTAGAATGTACCCTAGTCCGTCTGAGATGCCATGCAGACAAACCTATTGTAGATCATATAATTTGTAACTGTCAACTATTAAACAACTTTTGGGAAAAGTGATTCCTTTGTTGTCCTGAAGGTTTGCCTGGTGGAAAGTTTCCCCCATGTAGGGGTCTTTTGGATCTTCCCACTAGAAGTTTGTTACTTAAACACAAACTTAAAGCAACAGCATTTGCCTCATTAACAGCTCACAGACTCAATCTTCTCCAGTGAAAGTTTAACAAACCCCACTTGCTTTTGACAGCTGGATCAAAGAGATGCTATTCATGCTGCAGTTAGAAAAAATAAGGTACAGCAAAATGAGATGCTATGAAAAATTCACAGACCTGGTCTTCATTGGCTGAATTGGTAAAACTTTTCAAAGACTATTGGTAGATTGTGCACAATTTGGTGGCTTCAAACCATATCTGTGTACTATGGAGGTAAATGCCCTTTTGCCCCCTTTTTCT